TATCATATTATGAAAAAAAAAAAGAGGGACGAAGGGCAGTCTCCCCCAGGGGACACCAGGTGATGTGGGATGCCTGAGCCCCCCACATCAATGGGGCTAGTGGGAGAAAAGGCAGTCGTTCATGGTCCTTCTGCCGTGCGGGGAATAAGACCTCACAGTGAGCCCTGCGTCCTTGGCCTCTCTGCTCGAGTGGACCTTTGCGTTGGGTGCACGGTTCACGGTTGTAAGCCACCACGGGTTGAGACGCAGAATGCAAAAACCAAACAATAAATATTCTAAAAGAAAACGTGTGCCTATTCACTCACCTCAGCTTTATACATGCGGATGAGGCCCTGGTTGACTTTGGACCAGGAAGGGACTGCGCTGATGTTCCACAACTGGTTGGAGTGTTCCGCAAATGGGCCTGTCTTCATCTGGAAGGCAGAAGGGAAGGACGCACATTAGACAGCAGCACGTTGTGCAAAGAACAGGGGAAATGCTCGGGGCAGGACGCAGGGGAAATACTCCCCCCCCCCTTTCTGCTTCCAACTGAACTCCTCAGGGTGTAGAGAGCCAGTTTGGTGTCGTGGTTAAGTGTGCGGACTCTTATCTGGGAGAACCGGGTTTGATTCCCTTGCAGCTGCTGGATGACCTTGGGCAAGCCGTAGTTCTGGCAGAGCTGTCCCTGAAAAAGCAGTTCTTGAAATAGCTCTCTCAGCCCCACCTACCTCCCAGGGTGTCTGTTGTGGGGAGGGGGAGGGGAAGGAGATGGTAAGCCGCTCTGAGACTCCGAGTGAAGGGCGGGGTATAAATCCAATCTCTTCTTCTTCTTCAGGTGAGTATTTAGGACACTTTTTTGCCCTGCCCTTCCTCCAAGGAGTGCTGGACATGCACAGTTCCCTTCCCCATATTTATCCTCACAAGGGCCCTGTAAGGTCAGTTAAGAGTTGTGCTTGTGTGCATGTGAGCGAGAGACCGCATGGTATACTTCAGAGCAGACTGGAGTGGGGCTGAATCCACGCTTTCCCCTACCTAGCCTCAGGTGGGTAGCCATGTTGGTCTGATGCAAGAGAACGAAGTTTGAGTCCAGTGGCACCTTTAAGACCAACAAAGTTTAATTTGGGGTCTAAGTGTTGGTGTGCACCACACCGAGCATGTTCAGATATTATGGAGAGCACTGTGGGTGGGGCGGAGCTAAAAACACAGAGCCTGAGCTTCCAGCAGCGAGCAAAAGTGTTGCGGTTGGCCGCTCGAGAGATCCAGAGCAGGGCACCATTGTACCCTTGCACAGATGCTCAACGCGCTCCCCTACTGGGTCTTGCTGACATGACCAAAAATATAGACAGAGAATACCATCCCTGGGTGTTTTAGTTAGGCATCCTTAGGGATCTCCCCCCACTGCCAGGTCGGTCAGGGACTGGAACTTACAGCAGTCGGGGGTTGGGAGTGGGGCCCTCCAAGCCCCCGGAAGCCTCCCGACCCTGCCAGTTGTGCTACCATGCATCTCAGAATCTTCTACAATGCAGACTCCGTGGCAGGCGCTTAAGGGATCCTCTACAGACAAACATAACATGGAACATGGGCCCCAAAAGTGCGGCACTTGATAACGCGGGACAGAGACAGGGGATCATGGTGCAAAAACACACTGAGGGTTACAGAGCTTGCTTTTCTCCTAAACTCTGGACGACCTGTCCTTAAACTGCATTTGCTCCATGCTCTTTTCTTCGGGGGAGAAGGACAGTGTTTTTATTCTATTTTACACAGTCAAGAGACGAGTATACATTTACCCTGCCCATATATGGTTAAGACGCTGAACTGCAGGCTGTGGAAGGTCGGTAGTTCAGCAGTTCGAGACCCGAGTGTGCCGCATGACGGAGTGAGCTCCCGTCTCTAGTTCCAGCTCCTGCCAACCTAGCAGTTCGAAAGCAAGAAATTGCAAGTAGAGAAATAGGTACCACTTCGGTGGGAAGGTAACAGCGTTCCGTGTGCCTTGGTGTTTAGTCATGCCGGCCACATGACCACGGAAATGTCTCCGGACAGCGCTGGCTCTTCGGCATTGAAACAGAGATGAGCACCGCAACCCTAGAGTCGGACTCGACTGGCTTTCGAGCAAGGGAACCTTTACCTTTTACATATGCAAAATACGTTTTAAAAAACCCTGTACATGTTGAACCACTTTAGATGTTTGTGTGAATGAAGTTTATACGCTTAATGAATTGCATGTATTCACTACCACCCTCATCCTTCTGCTTCCTGTGATGATAAAGATTTGGTTGTGGAGAAAAGAAAATGGGGATGAGTACAGAGCTGGGTCACACAACACCCCCACCACACAAAGCAGCGCAAGACTCCACCCACATCCAACACATCAGCACTTGCAGGAATGTATACTGGCTTTTCATATGTACACCTCACAGCGCAATACCGTTTTGGGGCACCCACTGCAAACACGGCCCACAGAGAGTGAACGTTTGGTGTCCAAAGCAGAAGTAAAGCCTGAACACTTGGGGGGTGGGGTGGGGAGAAATCCATTTCAGAGACCAAGGTGGTGGTGGAGAAACAAAGTCTGGGCACACCGGAAGAAGTAAAACTCTGTTCTCAAAACCAGGGAAGAAACGCAGCTCAGCTTGCTGAGGGGAAGTTCCCATGACATCATAAACCACAAGGCGGAAGACCTGCTGAAGAGGAACTCTGGGAAAACAAGTCTCATTGGATGACCTGGCTAGAAGCTCATGAGTTAGAAAACAACTAGCTTGCTTCCTTCGCCTGTTCCTGTAGTAGGAACGCACACATCCACGGACACCCTGGAAAGCAAGAGGCCGAACAACATCTCCACTGGCACCTTTAAGACCAACAACGTTTAATTCTGGGTATAAGCTTTCACGTTGCATGCACACAAAAGCTTATGGCCAGAATTAAATGCTGTGGGTCTTAAAGGTGCTAACAGACTCAAACTTTCAGTGCTATGCCTGATGAAAAGCCAAGCGGGCACTTGAGCAAGATGGCTGCCCTTCTGCTGTACCCCAGTGGCCCCGATGCTTTGCAATTCAGGGGAGGGAGGGGAAGTCTCTTGTACAGGGGACAGTCTTCAACCCCTCTGGCTTCAGGCCGGCCTCATGTGTAGTGGGGGGGTCTTTAGCCTCCGGCTCACAGATTTTTGTCTTAGCTCAGGAAGGGATGGCTCCAGAGCAAACTGATTTATGCAGTAGCCAAACTGCTCGCTCACAACTTTAATGCCAGCGGCTCACAAAGTAGAATTTCTGCTCACAAGACTCCACAGCTTAGAGGGAACACTGCACACAACCGTAAGATTTCTTAGGTTATTAGGAGAGGAGCATCTGAATTGAAATGTCTCTTTTGAATTTTTTTTAAGAGGATGCTTTCAGACACAAAGAGGAGATCCCAGAAAGGCGCTGTGCAACTGACCCCAGAAGGATGCTAAGGTTTGTGTGTCCCCCTCACTATTTGCCACGCCAGCAACACGGGACCAGCATGGCCCGGCAGCTGCTAAGGCCCCCCACCACGGACTGCAGACATGGCCACCTGCCTTCTCCATCTGGGGGACATCGCAGAGGCCTCAGGGACGATGTCTGATTTCCCTTGGGAGGGGCAGCGGCAGAGAATCGCTCCTTCACTCTCTTTTGATCAATGCCGGCAAGAAGCAGCATAAAGGAACCGCACTCCCCTCTCTGGGGGTGTGTGCACATGCGTGCGTGCACGTGAGCAAGGAGAGGGCCGCTGGAGGTCACCTAGACCAGGGCCCTCTAAGAAGAAGAGAAGAGATTGCATTCATACCCCATGGCCCTTTACTGCCCAAAGGTGTCACAGAGCGGCTTACAGACTCCTTTCCCTCCTCCTCCCCACAACAGACACCCTGTGAGGTAGGTGGGGCGGAAAGAGCTCTTGACAGAAACTGCTCTTTTTCAAGAACAGCTCTTATCAGAACTATGGCTTGCCCAAGGTCATCCAGCAGGTGCAGTGCGCAGTTCGGCAGCCTCCCCCTCCCGAGCGTCCCTACCTCCCCGGCATCTGATCTTGCCAGGGAGCAACAGCGCGCGGTGCACGGGATCCGTGGGATCCCGCCCGCGCGTCTCTTTTTTGGTGCGGCTCTATTTAGCCGCACTTTGCCGGGTGTTTTCCTTGCCGTGTGGCAGGGGCCAACGTTAAGAGTCTGGACACCTTCAGTCTCTCAATAAACTTTTATTCCTCTGAATGACTGTTGTTGGGGACTGACTGCTCCAGGGTTCTGACAATTGCCTTAAGATCTGTGGAAGTTTCCCCCCATCCACTCTCTCCAGCTACCATCTGTTGCTCTTTTGCAGAATCAGATACCCAGTTTCAGAAACAGATGTGGCAATGCCAGAGGATGCATTTCGAATCAGGACTTGTCACAATACAAACCCACCGGTCGTTTCCCAGGATTCCCCCTAAAGTGGAAGGATACCCAAACCGATGTTCCCTCTAAGCTGAGTTAGTGTGAGCTAGCTCACGTTTTTTTAGCCTCCGGCTCACACATTTTTGTCTTAGCTCAGGAAGGAAAGCTCCACAGCAAACTACTTTGTGCAGTAGCCAAATCACCTGCTCACAACTTTAATGCCAGTAGCTCACAAAGTAGAATTTTTGCTCACAAGACTCCGCAGCTTAGAGGGAACACTGGCCACTCTGAACCACTACACCAAACTGGCTCTCAGATGGTTAGTCCTTAAGGACTCCTGCTTATTTCTGCTACAACAGACCGTTTGCCCTTCTGGAATGATGCAAGATAAATCCTTGTTTCCCTAGTGTGGATGAGGATGCGGCAGTGAAGAGCAATTTGGCTACCCTCATCCCAGCCCCACGTGGCCCTCCTCATCCACAGAAGGCTAGTCACGCTCGAGTTCCACTGCAGGCAATGGAGCAGGTTAGTCACACCTAGCCCACGCCTCTTCTACTTCAGTGGGACTTAGTGGCAACTATTAGCTGTCACAAAGCCCTTCCTGGCCTTGGACCCTCTGATCGGCAAGACCGCCTCTCCCCCTGTGCTCCACCAGGACAGGTGCCAAGCCACAAATGGACCAAATCAAAGACTGCCTCTGCACACACCCGGCCTCCTCTGCGGTGGCCCCCACCTTGTGGAACGGCCTGCACGGGGAGGTCAGGAAAACTCCCGCTTGCCCGGCTTTCCGCAAAGTATGCCAAACAGAACTATTCAAGATGCAGGCAATAGACTCACAGTGTATGAAATGACTCACAGAGTTACTTGGAAAAATTATTAGGAATTGTGGCCTGTATTACTGTGTAGTTTGCTAAAACTAGGATCCCACTACGCAATTTTTGTGCATCATTTAATGTGTCATGTAAATACTTCTGCTTTGCTTCGGTTCTGTTTTTAGACTTGTGGACGGTTCGGCAACCCTAACCCTATCCCATCGTTTACGGACTGTCCCGTCCTGTC